CGCATGAGTTCAATCCCCGCCTGGCCCGGAGGAGTCCACATGGCGCCGCAGACCTGCTACTCCCCTCAGTGGTGTACTTCGTCGATCTGCCTGTTTTGCTCCCCTCTCTGTCTCTGGTGAATCCTCTCACCCTCCGCATCGCTAGCCTATACCTCAGTTCTGTATGCATAAATAAATAAATCTTTAAAAAAAAAAAGATTTATTTATTTATGCACACAGAACTGGGGTACAGGCAGTGAGAGGTACAGGGGCAGTGAGAGTATTCGCCAGACATAATGGGAAGCAAAACAGGCAGAAAGACAAATTACATTACTGAGGGAACCAGCAGGCAAGACAGGAGAGGTCTGCTGTGCCAAGGGGTCACCTCCCTGGCAGGGGATTGAACTTGTGCTGAAGTTGCTGTGGCTAGCTTCATAGTGCTATGCTTTATCCCCTTGCACTACCAGGAAGGGCCCATAGCTTTGTTTTTAAATGAAAATTTGTTATTAAGTCTAAAATAACAAGCATCTACCTAAATATTAAAACTTCATCAATTTTATATGGGACTTCATCATGTTGAAAATCCAGGCTCTTAAATTCTACTGGGCATTCTGTGGTTAGGCATGATATTAAAATAACACAGCTCTTTCTGAAACCTGATTCTTGTGATCTTAATTTTTCTTAAGTCTGTATACATTGATATTATAATTTAGACTGAACCATAGCTTTGCTTCAGAAGCAAAATGTAACTAAAGAAGAATTGGGTTGTAAAAATGAAATTTCTTTAGTGGACACGAGAGAAAGATGTTTCCAAAAAATTCAAGGAAATTATTGTTAAAATCAGTTTTCTTAACCCATTCTTTACCAGTCTTTACTTGGGTCACCTTTCTTAAAGATATTTATTGGTAAATTTTGTTTATACTTCAAGAAGCAAATTGTGTTGATAACCCTGATTCCACTTTAGTTCCATTTGTATACTTAAATAGCAAACTCTACTAACATAAAAATAAAATTATTTTTAAAAGTATATTCAATCCTGTGACTCAACAGTTCACTCCTACTTGTGTGCCCAAGATTATTAGAAACTGTCAAACAGAAATAGATGCAAATGTTTGTTTTGGTATTTTCGAAACAAACAACTGAAGTGTCCATCAGCTGATGAATATAGTAAATCCATAAGGCAGAATGTTCAGACATAAAAGGAATGAAGTTTTATATATTTACAACATAGCTGAATCTTGCAGACATTGTTCAAAGTGAAAGATGCCAGACATTAAAGACCACGTGAAAGATGCCAGACACTAAAGACCACGTGTTATATGATTATATTTTATGAAATGTCCAGAATAAATTTAGCAAAAAGAAAATGTAACTTAGTGATTGCTAGAGTCAAGGAGTAGAGGGAGGGGGAATAACGGCTACTAGGTATAACATTTCTTTTTGAAGTAATAAAATTTAGAGTAAGTTTATGGTATGTAAAGTATATCACCATATTTTAAAAATAGTATTCATGTGGGGAGCAAAAGGAAGATAAGAATGTATGGGCAGTGTTTAGATGCATTGCCATAATATACATTTTAATATATATTTCAACTAAGGCCAAGTTAAAAAAAGTTCTCCACATACTAGAATGTTAACATTCTATGTACCTCTGAAACATATATAGAATAAGTCCTTTTTTTTTTTTTTAAATGAAAGCTCTTGGTAGTTTGTATAGTTTTTACTTGATATAACTGGAAATAATACTGTTTTTGGTAGTTCAACATTTAGTTAGCGACAACTTATTTATCAGGTGTATAGGATCAAAATGAAAATGAATATGGATTTTCTTATAATGGTTAAAATAACTTTTTAAATTCTACCCTAGCCTCTATATGTTATACAACATATCTCAGCCCCCAAATGTTTTAACGAAGTATTTCCCAAGAATTTGGAAATAAGTTTGTTTTCTGAGTTAAGCTGTAAAGTCAACAGATATAAAAATCATCTTAAGCAAAATTGGTTACCTTATTGGCAAAATGTGATGTAATCTGAATTAATATAAGTAAGAAATTTGTCCACTAGAAGGTGGGCAAGTCAGCATGGAAGCATAGAAAAGAGAGTTATGGTGGTAAATGTTAGCAGTGCTTCCCTTGCTCATACAATACACAGTGAATGAAGATAGAGCTGAAGCAACAACAGAAAAGTCAGTTCTGTGTGTAGACTTAACACCCAATTACTGTAGATTGTTGCCTTAAACATTCAGTTCATTTGACTAAAGCTTTTTAAAAAATTACATGCTTCACACTGTCCTCTGATGGTTATCATCATTATCATTATTACTATTTTTATCATTGTTTTTATTAGGCTTTCAGAGTGGATTGTTTACAGCAAGAAAACATGTTGACCATAGAAACTTAAAGTATAATCATACCGATTATGATTATTTCTCATGAAATTGACAAATACTGTAGATCTGTCTTCAGAATGCACACTTACCAGGTTTTGAACAAAACAATTGACGATGAAACATGAACTTTTGTACCTAGATAAACCTGTTAGCCTTTGACCTTCACAGCCATTATCTCTCTACTCCAGTGGCAAACTTGACAAAGGGCATTTCCACATAATTTTCCTTGGCAATTTGTACTTTTTCAGTTGCCTGTTTATTTTAGTTATTTTTTTAAAAAAGATTTATTTATTTATTCATATAGAACTGGGGTACAGGCCAGAGATGCGGAGGTTGAGAGGATTCACCAGAGACAGAGTGGGGAGCAGAACAGGCAGATCTACGAAGTACACTGCTGAGGGGAGCAGAGGGCGGGTCAGGAGAGGTCTGCCTCGCCATGTGGACGCCTCGGGGCAGGCGGGGATCGAACTCATGCGGAAGTGGCTTAAGCTTCTCAGTGCTGTGCTTTAACCCGCTGCGCCACCAGGGAGGGCCTCAGTTGCCTGTTTATTAATGGTGAAATGCATAGGTTTTAAAGGATAAAGTGATGCTTTGGTTAAACCTGAAGGTGAGTGAGTCAAGGCTTGAAAACAAACTGAATGTAAGGAGAAAGCGATTGCCACCTCACGTTTTGGCACTCTTGTTATCATTGTTCTACCATTTCTTTATCCCTCAACTTTGTGGCTTAAAGAGTCACAGTTAATTTTATGAATAACACTTGGCAGTGTTCTTTGTTGAATATTGAATATGATGTTGAATATAGTAAATAACTAGGTACTATACTTAGGTCCTAATAGCCTTATTGTGAGAATTAATCCTAAAAAATTTTTAAATCTTGCTTATTATATCATCTAGACACTTTTGAAGTGTTCATTGGTGATTGTTATTTGAAATGCTTTTCTATTTTCTTGAGTTTTTTTATTTCTTAAGTAAAACAAAAAGGTTTTTTGGTGAAATTACATTTTTTCCTTCAGGAAGGTGAGAATATATTCCCTACAGGTAAATCCAAAGGTTTAGATCAATTGATGTATTGTTTTTTTGTGTGTATGTATGTTTTCATCAGGTTTGCCTGTCTGTCCTGAGCTGGTGAGAGAGCACATCCCTAAAACCAAGGATGTAGGACACTTTTTATCTGTCACTGGGACAGTGATTCAAACAAGTCTGGTGAAGGTCTTGGAGTTTGAGCGGGATTACATGTGCAACAAATGCAAGCATGTGTTTGTGGTCAAGGCTGACTTTGAGCAGTATTATACTTTCTGCCAACCATCCTCCTGTCCCAGCTTGGATAGCTGTGATTCTTCAAAATTTACTTGCCTCTCAGGCTTATCTTCATCTGTGACCAAGTGTCGAGATTATCAGGAAATCAAAATTCAGGAACAGGTAAATACTCAAATAAGTGAAAAAAATAACAAATTTGAAGAAGTGTTTTACAGCTATGGGCAAATTGCTAGGACTAGGGAACATATATAGATTGAAATAGAACTTGTATCATTACTCTGTGGAGCTCAAGCTTAGAATATAATTTTTAGAAACTATGAAGTAGTCATCTCTTTATAAGCACTGGCAAGAGTGTTGTGGAATTACTTATGTTAATATTAAAGTAAATAAGTAGTTCAGACTAGCTGTTCTTAGCTAAGAAAGGAGAAAATTAAGTGAGTTGAACTGGTTACACATTGGAGTAGGCAGGATGTGGGGCTTTTGGCCCAATTTTATTTCCTGTGTCAAATGAGGTACATGAGAACTTTAACAAATCAGAGTGAGCCTGATTTTTCTTTACTTGCAGCTTCAATGCAAGTTGTTTTCTTTCATTTAAAATAAATAGGAGATAGTCTGAGGTTAGCACATAAATTCCTCATCATTGAGAACTCAGATTCATATCAGTTGGTATTGATTCTTAACACATGGTGCCTATTCTGTTGTTGTATATGGATTAGAATGGTGGTTATAGCGTCATTCACATTTGTGTCCTATTCAAAGAATGGGGGATAAAATGGGTTAAGCGAAAGCATTTGCCAGCTAACCCAAATTTCTATTTAAGCAGTTTCTCTCAAGTTTCCTATATATCTGCTTCTAAATTACTGGTCAGAATAAATAACTGCATCTAGACGCACTGCAACCTGGGCAGCATAGTTTTCTTCTTGGGCATATGTTCATATGGAATAAAAATAGAACCAGAGTTGTTTCTAAGAAATAAAGTGATTTTCCCACAGGCTTTAGGGATCAGGAAAAAATTGCCTCTTTAGCTAAGTAACTTTGTTACTGTGTTTACCAGTTGGAGCATGTTAATTTTGACCATCTACAAACTAGATTATATTTGGATATCGTTTCCCCATTGTTGTAATTTTACTCTAGTTTTAGTGAATTCTTAAGTTTACAGTAGGCACAATTTTCTAAAAGGTCCATAAATCACCATTAGAATTTTTAATGTACGAGACTGGAGAAATAAAAACTAATTTCAAAAACTGCTAGGCTTTTGAATACTTAAGAGTATATTTAAGGATATTCTGTAATGTTTTCTTTTCCTTGCTAGGTTCAGAGGCTGTCTGTTGGAAGTATTCCACGATCTATGAAAGTTATCTTAGAAGATGACTTAGTAGACAATTGTAAATCTGGTAAGAATTCACTTTTGTTAGCTTGTATAGGAGATCTTATAGTATTGGTTCGGAAGTCATGTTTAATTTTCTTAAAATCATTGTCAGGTAAGGGTGGAGACTTAGTTGCTCACTTTGAGGACAGAGCCTGGCATGGAGTTTGGATGTGATGGCAGGAAAGCTGTGAAACCTGTGGGGCCAGGATTGTCTTTATTTTTAATCCCCTTTTCTCCAATACTAAAATAGTGAATGCTATTTCATATATACTTACTGGTGCGTTGAATTCTATGTAATAATAGGTATCGATGTCACTGTTTGGAAATTGTATCTATAAACTAGCTGAAGCCTCTAAGGAAAATCTGTAAAAGTTTAATACTCTGCCCACCAGGTTGGGAGAGTTTGCTCAGGTAAGAAGGACCAAACCACGAAAGGAACAAGCAAGGTTATAGCTTGTACTTCCAATTTATGGAAGGGAACATTGAGAGTATTCATTTATTTCTAGTTCTTTAAAAAAAGAAAAAAAAGGCAGTGTGTAAACTATTAACACATATAAGAAAAATGAATATATTAAACTATAACTACTATCAATTGTCAGAAATTGAACCTTCTGGCTACAGTTCACCTCGTGTTTAAATATGAACTAACATAACAATGAATAAATCATCCAGTAAACTATTTTCCCAGTAAAGAACAATAACTTGCTATGATTATCATTTGACAAATTAAGAAAACATGAAGATTTAAGTTTTTAGCCATGAAAATAAAAATACAGTGCTACAAAAATAAATAAATAAATAGATCAAGACTTTGTGGAGTGTTTGTCCCAGTTTTTTTTTTAAACTCTGGTGGGAGAATGATTTATCATTGCTGGTCCTGTTACTACTGGACCCACTTGGTACTTTTTCCTTAGGCGATGACCTCACTATTTATGGAGTGGTAATGCAGCGCTGGAAACCCTTTCATCAAGACGTGCGCTGTGAAGTGGAGATAGTCCTGAAAGCCAATTATATCCAAGTAAATAATGAACAGTCTGCAGGGATCATCATGAATGAAGAGGTCCGAAAGGAATTTGAAGATTTTTGGGAATACTATAAGAGCGATCCCTTTGCAGGTTTGTGATTAGTGGGTATAGCTGGTAATTTTTAATGCCATTTCCTTCAGTAGTTAACTATATTGTTAACTACTATATTGTTAACTGTCTTACATGATGCAAATACAGTGGCTGAGTTCAAAGGATGGTAGCATTGGTGCCTCTAATAGTCTTTTAACTCCTCTTTGGGAATAATCATTGCTATGAAGAGATCTTCCTAGAAAATCCAGGCTAAATTTCAGAGATTTTCCATTTCCAACAATTATCTTAATATCTCTTAAGCTCAAAATAATCTTTACCAATTAAAAATGACTTCTCCTTAAATATGCAGAACTCTTCCTCTTTTGGAACCTAATCCTATTAAAGCTTCATTTCTTTTTTCATACCTTCGATAACAAAAACACAGTATGTTAGATAAAGATTTCAAAGTTCAGAGTTAAGTAGTAAAGAGATGATATAGAAAGATGCAAAAAAAAAAAAAAAAAACCTGTAATCACAGCAAAAATATTGACCATGAGACCATGAGGCTAAGATAGTAACGTAAATTAAAATAGCAGTCTTTGGGTTCATAGAGTATTTGGGGGGCTACCCCACCCCTCAATTCCCCAATCCCTCCTGCTGCCCAGGCACCAGGCTGCAGCTCCTCCACCCCTCCTGCCCTCCAGAAGAGACTTTCCTCACCCTCAAAGATCTCAGCAGCACCAGGCCCTTAAAATGATTTATGGATTATCCTTAGTGGTCTACTTTTACTAAACGGTTCTTTTTCTTCACCATTCCTGCCATACCAGGTGACATCACCATAGTTTGTGGCCACTGAATCATTTTTTCATTCATTATAGTACGTAGCCTTACTAGTAGGCCCATTAACTATGGAGTGAAGGGCCTTTCCTTTCCCTTGATGGTTTGGCAGGAAAACCTGCTGGAACTGGAATCATCAGTCAACAAGTAGTTGTGTGATTATTTTCCTCTTCACTGAAGTATGAGTGCAGACTCAGAAATAAAAGTAGTTATGCATGCAAATCAATTAACCAATATGTGACATTTAATTTCCAGTAATATGAATGTAGACATATAGAATGTCATCATGTTAGCAAATTTGCCTAAGTTATGACAGATTCAAGAAGAACTTGTTACTGATAGAATGTCATAGGTACTACCAGCATCTATTGGTTGGTTAGGCCATTGAACACCTGGAGTACATACTTATTCATGATTGGGATATACAGATTCTTAAATTTGGTGTTTCAACATTTCTGAAAACAGTATTGTTCTTAAACCACTTGATCAGAAGTTCCCGAGACATCCAGCTTGATTGCTAGAATTTATAATGGTCTTCTTAATACCCTATAACTTATTCTAAATAAAATATAATTTCCCAAAACTACTTTAAGTAAATGGTGAATTTACTTGCAGGGGTAGGTTGGCTTGCCCACTCTTATACCTCCTGCAAATAACCATGAGCTCCAGACACCACCTGTATTGTATTTAAAGTTTACTGGCTTTACAGTTAGTTTCACCTATTGTTTCTGAGATTGAGTTCCTTTTATTTAGAAAATGGAGTAATTTTACTGAAACTACTATACAAAAAGTGCAGCTGGTATTTGTAATAATGGATTATGGGATGGTGTTGGCCTAATGAGGGAGAAATGGACAAGTTTTTGCCTCTTCAGAAATGATAAATTTAGAGACAAACGTGCAGTTAACCATCTGAGAGTAAAAAAGCAGACTTTCCATCTCATGACACTGAATAAAGAAATTTTAGGTCCTAAACAATGTGTTCATGCATTTTAGTCTTCTGGAATGGTCCTCATGATTATTTTAGGTAGTAGGGGAGTACTGAAAGACGATAATCAGTTAGGATAGAAAGAGAAATTCCAGTTAGGATATCATGGCAATTATTGGTAACTTGACATTTCTGCTTTTCCCAGGAAGAAATGAAATATTGGCTAGTTTGTGCCCTCAAGTTTTTGGCATGTATCTAGTAAAGCTTGCTGTGGCCATGGTGCTGGCTGGTGGGATTCAAAGGACAGATGCTACAGGAACACGGGTCAGAGGTTAGTACCTGTTTGAAAATTTTGAGAAATGTTAGCACATACCAGAAAAACTGTAATTTTTCTTTTCTGAATAAAAATTGCTTCTTGAGCTTTATTCTCCTAATGTAATCTTTTAAAGCTGTCCAGTATCACTGTATCAAAGAGCTGTTTTAAAATTTGTAAAGATTAAGTAAATCTGTAATTTTGCTCCAGCCCATCGGGATGCAACAAAATAAAGTCTTTCATTTCTACTACTATGGTTTTTTTTTGCGGGGGGGAGGGCGGGAAATCCCTGTCTCTTCAAGAAAGAAGGATTAAAAAGTACTTTCTAGTGTCTCCAAGTAGCATCTCTCTGTGTCAGTGTTTCTTTCTGGCTGCTGTTCAGTCATCTGTGTGCTTATTCACTTTCCTCTGGCAGGTAGTAAATGTGCCATCTGCCATGAGGTGTTGACGTAGGTCACACATTCAAACAGATTACTACCAGTGTGTAATTATTTCCAAATGGGAAAGTTTTTTTTTTGTGGCTAACACTTAAAAATGACCTGAATCTGGCATATGGCCTTCAGCAGGGCAATGTGAGGGCTGTAACTAAAGACTAAAGCCAAGAGATTAAAAGGACATTATTGTTAAGAAAATCAGACTGCTTATAGATGCCAAAACACTATAGGGTAGAGTAGTAACACAATAAAATTTACATGTATTATGTTTTGATCATGTACTGTTTGCAAGGTATCTGCTATATGGTGAGCTTAAATAGGATTGTCTTATTAATATAGTTAGAAAATACTCATAGTACTGAGGAGATTTTTTGATTGGCGAGACTGTATGTATTGCAGGATATTCATATGATCATTTGTTATATTTGAAAAATAAAAGCACTTAAAAATAGATACTTTAGGCCCTCCCTGTGGCGCAGCGGGTTAAAGCACAGCACTGAGAAACTAAAGCCACTTTAGTATGAATTCGATTCCCGCCTGCTCCGGAGGTGACCACATGGCGCAGCAGACCTCTCCTGACCCGCCCGCTGCTCCCCTCAGCAGTGTACTTCATAGATCTGCCTGTTCTGCTCCCCGCTCTGTCTCTGGTGAATCCTCTTGCCGCCCCTGAGCCTCTGGCCTGTACCCAGTTCTGTATGAAGAAATAAATAAATCTTAAAAAAAAAAAAATAGGTACTTTATTAAACTACTAAAGTTTACATAAAATGCTTAAAATACTTATAAAGTACTGAACACTTTAAAAGTGCTTATCATAAAACATTTTGTGGCTTATATGGAAAGATTTAATCATAGTAGTTTGGTATTAAAAAGTAGATTAAACAAAAACTTTGTAAATCAAAATTTTTTAAATGTTAAATAAACATCTGGAAATAGCCCATACTCTGTCATTAGAATTTAGATTTTTAAATGTCATATACAGAAATCAATTAATAGTTATTTATGACGTTTTTCAAAATTTTCTAGATTCTTCCATGAATGACTCTTAAGTAAAATTATGTAACAAAAATACTATGTAATATGGAATTTTCTTTTAAATTAATTACACTTATTAAAGAAGCTTTTCATAGAAATTATAAAACCCCACATATTTACTTTTTTCTAGGTGAATCTCATCTTTTATTGGTTGGGGATCCTGGCACAGGGAAATCTCAATTCCTCAAATATGCAGCAAAGATTACACCAAGATCTGTGCTTACCACAGGAATTGGATCTACTAGTGCAGGTATTTTATGTGACAATTGCAATTAATTTAACATTACTACAGCAGCCAAAAAGTTTTCCCGTATGCAAAAATAACTGACAATAGGAGAAATTTCAAGCTAACTATTGAATTATTAGCAAAAACTGAAGGATATTTATTTTTAGTTCTAAGAAAATATTTTAAAAGTTGCATCTAAACTTCTTTTCCAGAAATGTATACTATGTATATCTTAGCATCTTAGGTTTGAATGATCCTATTCAGTGTCTTTGACTCTTAGTTACCTTCACACATTTATGTAGGAAAGAGTGATATATCATTTGGCATTTTATGAAGACAGCAAACAGAATGCTGAAATAAATGGGGGGGGGGGGGAGAATCTCACTTTCCAAAAGTAGTTAGATGGTGTAGAGCTTTCAAGTATTTTGGTGGTCATAAGTCTCAGGGAAATACTTAAGAAAATTTGTCTCGGTATATGGAAAGCATATTTCATTACTGCAGTGTGGAACTTTATTTCATACAGTATAATGATTCTTCAATACATTTAAAAGCCTGTGTAGATAAGATTGTTGAGATTTCAGTGACTTTAGAGAAAATTATTTTAAAAGATATGTTCTTGCTCCTTACATTGTTTCGATTGGAGAAATATCTCTCCTATTCTACTATAGTAGGCCTTTGTTTTCACACATTGCACAAGTATTATTTACTGCTTGTTGGAGGAGCCTAATGTCCATTGTTTGCACTCATATTTCTAATGAGATGCTTTAAAATATCAGAAGGCAGCAAATGCTCCATTAATAGTTTTACACAATGAGAGCCCCAGTCGAAGGGGCACGTGCGGTTTAAAGTAGAACAGGACAGTACATTAAACATTGACAAGAAGTAATTTGTTAAGTGAGAGGAGTGCAAGAGTTTCAGGATATTGGAGGGAAGGCGATAAAAATACTTCATATGTATTTTTAAATCCTTATGACCCACTATTAGAGTTCTCTATAAAATAACGAAACGGTGTTTTCAAATAAATAATGGAGTAAATAATTACATGAAAATAGTGGAGTAAATAATTACATGAAGTGCCAAAAAGTAAGTCCAAGTTGTAGTAAATGTACTTATCCCCTTTTCAAAACCAATGTGTGAGAGAAAAGTTTGAGGGAATATAAATCTTATATAAGGTCATAAATGAAATATATATATTATCTATATATATGTGCACTCCAGAATTCCTGAATGGTGCTCATTTTAAATGATTTCCTTGTTTCCTTCTAACCTATTTGCCTGTCTCTTGTATAGCAGTGTTCATATATTCAGAGCACAGCTATTTACTAGATGAAAAGGGCTGGAAGTTTCAAATCTCCTAGCTATAATTCAGATGTTTGTAAAATGAGGCCAAATTGGGAAAAAAGGAAACCTATGTGTCAGTTTCTTAGTTCCTAATGTTTGAATTCTGTTTTCAGCCATTTTTAAAAAGTCTTAGAGAATAAAACTCTCCAGAAGTAATGGTTTTTAATCTCAAACTTCTATGATGATTGGCTGTTCATTCAGAAATTAATGTTAAAACCTAATCCTTTGATGTCAATATACTGAGAACTATAATTAACCAAATAAAAACTCAGCAGTGAACTACTTTTTCTAATAATATGGCTTACATTTGCTTTATTTCTAACAAGAATGCATTCCTGTTATGTTAATCACTGACCTCTTTTGGGGAAAGTATTGCATTTATTTTCATTTTAATATTTTAACATTTTCTTTTAATTGCAGTTAAACAAAATGAAAATTTCTTCATAGGTTTAACAGTCAGACGTGTTTTACTTTTAAACTCTAAGAACTAGTTAGTGGACAGTTTTAATAATTTTATTAATTTAAATTTCAAAGTTTAACATTTAGCAAGACTATTTCACAAATTCACTTACTTAGAATGACAGGAAATATATACAACTTATAATCCATATTCAGACAAATGCCCTTTTTCTTTCCTCAAAATAAAAGCTTTAAAAAGTGCAGTATAAAAGTTTTTCATATGAAGGCACTGCGTAACTCTGCATCATATGGCTATATCTTGCTTTAGCAGCAAGAGTAATAGAAATATTCTACACTTAATTTAGTGGTGCATAAGAAACTTTTTGAGGAAGAAATCTCTCATCGAAGAAAAGGAACCTTTTGGCCTGTTTAACTGATGAATTCCTTTCCAAGACTGCCTTTTAAAAACTTATTTGGAAAAGCTATTTAGAATATGTCATTCACAAATATGCCTAATTTGACTCTCCATGAGTGTCAGGAGGTATGGAGAAGAGGCCTACATGTGTGAAAATATATATATATTTCCAAAATATTTTCTATTATGATAAAGCTAAATATGCTTTTCCAAATTCAATGATTTTTAATAGAAATGCTGCCAATAGCAGATGATATATCAAAATAATTTTAAAGCATTATGTTCTCAGTACTTTTATAAATCTAAAGAATAGGTCTAAATCACTGTAATTTTCTATTCTTAAAATTAGGGAATTTGTATTTGCTCTTAACATTTTGAATTCATTGGGCAGTAGCAACATATGATTCATGGAGTGTTCTACTCTGTTTAAAAAACAAAAACAGAACAAAAAAACACCATAGCCAGAGGACCTTATAAACGACCACATTTGTTTTCATATTAGAAACCAAATTAGAGCCATAGGAAACTTCAAGGTGGCCTGGAAAATCAGATCCTAAGTTCTTGGTAGCATATAGTTGTCATCACATCTCTTCCTTAATTAAGGACATGCCAAGAAAGAATGTAAATTTGCCCCTTAAATAAAACCAAACTATGTTATGACCAGAAGAAACATTTTAGTTGAAGTGAACCTGGCTTTTTTGAAGGTCAGCAATATGGTGGTCTAAAGATTACTGTCCAAGAGCCTAAGACATCTTCATAATCTGATCTGATTCATATTTTTCTTCATAAGTGCTTTAATTACATATAGAGGAGAAGAAAATTATATATATGTTTTAATCAGATTAGTTCCAGAACAAATAAAATAACACATTAGAGAAAAATTACTTAAAAATAGTTGTATTTATATTCCACAATTTGCTCAAATACTGGTTTTTTTTATAAACTTTCTACAGGATGTTTTTAAAACAAATTCTTCACATTGTATCTTCACTATGTACTTACGGAATTTCAGGGAAATAGTTCTGTGTGTTTTTATAGCTTAATTTGTACTAAAGGGATGGTAGGTGGTCACATGCAGTCCATGTGGGATTCTAACATAACATTTAGTGAGTTTTCTGATGTGGACCATCCCTTTGATGCTGAAGGTAATGCATCTGTTGAAAGAAGTGATTGTAGATTTGGGTTACTGCTCTCTGCATCTTCCAGTTTTTCTGTGTTATCTTCCCAATTAATGTGAAATCTTGTGACTCTGGGATTAGATGCCAAAATGTTCCTTTGAAGCTAGAAGGAAGGAAATATAAAAATGGTAAATACTAAGAAAGATAGATCACCACGTACAGACAGGCGTTTTAGTAAAATAGTTATTTTAATTAGCTCTCCTAGGAGATTAAATTTACATACAGAGGTGTAAGTATGTCAAATAAAGCACCTTAAATGGAACTCATAAACAAGGACTGGGGCTGTAGCAAAGAAAGTATTTGAGCTTAATGGAAGCAAGATGTGGAGAATCTGAGGGAATTCATCTAACTCCTCTACATTTGTTTCCTAAAAGGGAGAAAATCTCTTCATTTTTGAATGTGACTGCTTTAGAAGATGCTTTATTTGATAAATAAATATGCTCTTTAATGGCTATTTCACTTCAGTAACATTTTCAAGAAAAAAGAATTTTCCCCAAATGTAACTTTTCATTAATGGTTCCCTTCTTTTTAGTTACTATGACTCATTCATAGAGTATTCTGGTTTCTTCTCTTTCTTGTTTCCTTAGAGGTGCTATACAGGTAACCATAAATTTGGTCAGTAGAAAGTCCAACATCAGGATAAAAAAACATTTCAGCCTTACTAAAAAGAAGGGAAATGCCATTCTGCTCCCATGTAATTTTTCTTGTATTATTTACATAATAGTCAACTTTAATAAATTCTTGACCACGATAGGTACATTTCATTAGCACAACTGTTACACCTACTGCATCTGCATCTGGCAAATAGTGTCATATTCTGTATCTCAGGAGAATCAGCACACTGTTACCATTCTCAATGGGAAATCATAAAGTATCAAGTATTTTTGAGAATACTGAATTATAGAATCACAGATTTCACTTCTTACTCAGAATTTCACTTTCAGAAGTTAAGCTGTTTTCAGTTTCTAGAAAATGGAAGACCTTTAGTTTAACCTTTAGGTAGAGCATATCAAGCACAGCAAATTGGTGTTCTGAGATATTTACTGCTCATAGTAAAAACAAAACACAAAACTTACCCTCATGATTTGGGGGAATTAGAACAAAATTAACAAGAATGTCCTAAGACAGAAATAAGTTGTGATAGGAAATGCAACACAAAAAGCAGTTAACACAAAATGCAATAAGCAAAGGTCGTTTTTCAAACAAGAGGCATTTTCATTTTTCTAAACTGTCAGACACTCAAGGTGGCTGAGCAACATCAATTATTACTAACAAGTTATTTGGAAGTAGAGCTCGAGATCACTCCTGCTAGTGAAACAATGATTAGTACACTTGGCATAACAGCCTCAAATTTCTTTTGTCTCAAAGCCATTTTCATAGTGTGCTATGAAATGGCAATTGCACAAAAAGCAGTAATTCAAACATACCTTAGAAAAGTCTGGTTTTACTGGCGGATTTTCCCTTAATTCTGTCTCGGTATATTCATTATTTACATAATAGCCAACTCTAATAAATTCTTGACCTCGATAGGTGCATGTAATTAGCACAACTGTTACACCTACTGCATCTGCATCTGGAATGAGTCCTGGATTTGGTGCATCAGCCTAGAATAATTTGAAGGGAAAAAAAAAAAAAGGTTAACTACAAGCAAGAGTGGAATTTTGTTTACGTTGAGCACCCTATCAGTTGAA